TAGTTGCCCCTTTTCCAGGTCAAAGGAAGCCTTTCTATTTTTCTCTCTTCTCTCCCTGTCCAACTCTGCCTGTCTAAAAATAAGAAAAGAAATAAGAACATATCCTCTGTCTGTCTTTGTTCCATTGTGGTATTTTTAAAAAGTTCCTCCTTGTTGTGCTCATTTTAATGTAAGAGTGCTCTATAAAAGGGTTGCTTCATTTCAAGGTTGGCTGGTTTACTTTTCTTATGATGACATATCTTTTGTTAATGAATACCAATATTGGACCCATATTCTAAACTCAGATCTGTAATTAAAATGCAAGTCTTCTAAAACTGCAAATGCCTGTCTCCTATGTTATTTTGTCCAAGTAAAATGGGATGATCGTAGTCCATTTAAGAAGGCAGCTACCAACTTGCAGTATACGTAAGGGGTCTTCAGAAAGTTAATGGAAAATGTGTATTAAGAAAAAATTGCTTCTTTATTTATTTATTTTTTGGACAGGCAGTGTTAGTGAGAGAGAGAGAGACAGAGAAAGGTCTTCCTTCCATTGGTTCACCCCCCAAATGGCTGCTATGGCCGGCGCGATCCGAAGCCAGGAGCCAGGTGCTTCCTCCTGGTCTCCCGTGTGGGTGCAGGGCCCAAGCACTTGGGCCATCCTCCACTGCCTTCCCGGGCCACAGCAGAGAGCTGAACTGGAAGAGGGGCAACTGGGACAGAATCGGCGCCCCAACCGGGACTAGAACCCGGTGTGCTGGCACCGCAGGCGGAGGATTAGCCTAGTAAATTGCATGGATTTCAGAATTTTTTTGTGTCAAATAAACTTACCTTTCAATTAAATTTTCTAGGAACTTTTTGAAGTACTCTTGTAGTTTTAGTATATTTTATGTGGAAGTCATTCTCTTCAGGTATTAACAATACATGGATCAAAGATCTATTGCCAATATCCTGGGAAGAAAAAACGGTATCAATTATTTATTTTTAGATACCAATTTAGGAGTTCTCAGGTAGGGTTTTTATTTCAACTCACTTGAGAACATCGAAGTAATTCATAACTAGAAACTTTTGAGGTAGAGTTTGTTATCAGCTTCACTGATTCTAATTTTAAAAAGCTACCAGACTATAGTATTATTTGTAGTGTAATAATGCTGAAGTCATTATTTGTAGTATAACTGTACTATAGCTACTATTGTTTAAAAGACTGCTAAAGAAAAGGAATAATAACAGGATTGCTGATTGTGAAGAAAATACATATGAGAGATGGAAGATTTCTTTTTGATATTTTGGAAGTCACATATACGACAATGGCCATAGCTTAGTTTTTAAATAGGAATGAGAAAAAGTAATTTACAGCATGTAGATATTAAAATTTGTTCAAAGAATATTTAAAAATTGTTTACTCAAAAACTACTAGTGTGACCTAGCAGTTAAGCTGCTGGTTGTGACAACGCGTCCCACATTGGAGGGTCTGGGTTGAGTCTCTTCTCCACTCCCAGTTCTAGCTTCCTGCTAATGTACATCCTGGGAGACAGCAGGAGATGTCTGAAGTGATCGGGTCCCTGCCACCCATGTGGGATATTTGGTTTGAGTTCCTGGCTTCTGGCTTAGCCTGGCCTAGCCTTGGCTATTACAGGCATTTGGGAAGTGATCTTGCAGATTTGAGTTCTGTCTCTCTCTCCCTCTCTCTATCTCTCTTTCTCTTTCAAATAAATTTTAAAAAGTAATGAAAAATAAATAATGATTTTTTAAAATCATAAGAAAATGGAAATTGTCAATAATAGCTAAGGCAATCTTTTATTTATTTATTTTTAGCATAGTCCTTTTTTTTATTTTTTTATTTATTTATTTATTTTTTGACAGACAGAGTGGACAGTGAGAGAGAGAAACAGAGAGAAAGCTCTTCCTTTTTGCCGTTGGTTCACCCTCCAATGGCTGCCGCGGCCGGCGTGCTGCACTGATCTGATGGCAGGAGCCAGGTACTTCTCCTGGTCTCCCATGGGGTGCAGGGCCCAAGGACTTGGGCCATCCTCCACTGTACTCCCTGGCCACAGCAGAGAGCTGGCCTGGAAGAGGGGCAACCGTGACAGAATCCGGCGCCCCGACCGGGACTAGAACCTGGTGTTCCGGCGCCGCTAGACGGAGGATTAGCCTAGTGAGCCACAGCACCAGCCAGCTAAGGCAATCTTAAGAAATAAAGTTGAAGGATTAATTAGGACCCATTCTAGATTCTTACTGATGAATTATATTTCTATATGTGTTGCTATTTTTATTTTTATAGAGGCATGATTTTAATGAATGAAAGGTTATTGATGTTAATTCTGTATGAATGTACGTAACTGACATTTATGTGAATTACTGCATTATGTAAGTATATATTTCTGCACATTTTATTTATATAATTTTGCTATACTAACATGTTAACTTAAATATATTTTATCGTTTTGTTAATGCTTCTTTATTTTTTTCTAGTCACTCTAGCTTTAAATTTTACAATTAATTTTCTCATTTTGCAGGGAACTCATATCGAGTTGTCTATTGGAATTATTTTGGGAATTTCAACTATGGCAGGTATTTAACAATAGTAAATGTTACTCCCTTGTCCTTGTGTTTAGAAGACATTTCAGTCGGTAGGTTTAGAAATGGACAGTTTATTTGACTGAATTTACTCATTGGGATGTTTATAAGCTTATTTCTTTAATCCTAATCTTCTGATTCTTAGCTTTGTTTATGTAGTACTTAAAAATGTTTAGATACTTTATATTAGCTAATGGGTGACAAAATTGTGGTATATTGACTTTTTAAAAAAGATTTTATTTTATTTTTGAAAGGCAGAGTTACAGAGAGAAAAGGTATCTTCCATCCTCTGGTTCTTTTTTTTTTTTTTTTTTTTTTTTTTTTAAGATTTTATTTGAGAAGTAGAGTTACAGGCAGTGAGAGGGAGAGACAAAAAGAAAGGTCTTCCATCCACTGGTTCACTCCCTAAATGGCTCCAATGGCCAGAACTGAGCTGATCTGAAGCCAGGAGCCAGAGCTTCTTCCAGGTCTCCCACGTGGTGCAGGGGCCCATGTGCTTGGGCCATCTTCCACTGCTTTTTCCAGGTGCATTAGCAGAGAGCTAGATCGAAATTGGAGCATCTGGCCGGCGCCGCGGCTCACTAGGCTAATCCTCCGCCTTGCGGCGCCGGCACACTGGGTTCTAGTCCCGGTCGGGGCGCCAGATTCTGTCACGGTTGCCCCTCTTCCAGGCCAGCTCTCTGCTGTGGCCAGGGAGTGCAGTGGAGGATGGCCCAAGTCCTTGGGCCCTGCACCCCATGGGAGACCAGGAAAAGCACCTGGCTCCTGCCATCGGATCAGCGCGGTGCGCTGGTTGCAGCGCGCTGGCCATTGGAGGGTGAACCAACGGCAAAAAGGAAGAGCTTTCTCTCTGTCTCTCTCTCTCACTGTCCACTCTGCCTGTCAAAAAAAAAAAAAAAAGAAAAAAGAAATTGGAGCATCTGGAACTTGAACCAGCACCCTTATGGGATGCTGGCACTGCAGGTGTGGCTTTACCAGCTATGGTACAGTGTTGGCCCCACAATGGTATATTGACTTTTAAAGCAAATTTTTCTGATAATTCAGTGTTATTCCCAAATCTTTTTTACCCTTTGTCTCCATTAAATAATTTATTTTTCAGTTGGATGGAAAAAAATCAAATAACAAAATACAAGATTGAAAAGCTATCTCCTTCTCACCCTTAATTAGTACTTTATTTTTCATGATGGTGAAATTTGGAAATAGTTGTGTTTACTGTGCAGAAAGCCTGTGGTCAATGAGTTAAAGAAGGAAGTTTGTCTTCTTGACTTTGTTGAATTTCAGTGCTATATGTATGGCTTTATGGTTTAATTCCAAATAGCCAAATTCCCCTAAACAAATATATGATGATACAGCTAAAAGATACTTTCTTCATATTGAAATAGCGTGTTTTCATATTGAAACTTAAATAAAAACTGGCTGCTATAATAGAAAAACGTATTACCTAATGGAAGAAGAACATTATAATTTCAGAATTGTAGAATTGTTTTCTATTTTGAAATCTTGAGTTTGAGAACTATCCAGTGAGTTACTTTGGATGTTGTTGCAGCTTGAGAAATGTGATTCTTTCAGACTACTGCTCTATTGATTACATAGTGGTGTATTGAAAATGATTTTTCTGACTTCTATGCAATAATCTACTTACCTGTTTTTAAATTTTAGCTGCTGCTTTGGGAAATCTCGTGTCAGATTTAGCTGGACTCGGGTAGGTCCATTCATTTTTTAATTTGTGCATTTATATCTTGTATTACTTTATTTTCTCCATTTTCCTTTGAGAAGTATAAAAAAAAGAGATGCTACTCTGGCCTCAGAATCAGCCCTTAAGGCATTCGGATCCGGCTAAAAAGCCCATGAGAGTATTTCAGGCATGGGAAGCCAAGACAGTATGGCAAAAAATGACCTAAATGAAAGATTTTTAAAGTGAGATCCCAGTGGAAAGAACGGGCCATCAAAGAAGGAGGTACCTTTCTCTGAAGGGAGGAGAGAACTTCCACTTTGACTATGGCCTTGTCTAAATAAGGTTGGAGTTGGTGAACTCAAGAGGCTTTCATAACCTTGGCAGCTCATGACAGAGCCTTGGGTGATTACTGACGTCATAAATAAGAGTGTCAATTGTTAAATCAACAACAGGAGTCACTGTGCACTTGCTCCCCATGTAGGATCTCTGTCCTTAATGTGTTGTACTATGAGAATTAACAGTAAAACTAGTCTTCAAACAGTACTTTATACTTTGTATGTCTGTGTGGGTGCAAACTGTTGAAATCTTTACTAGTACAGAGTTGATCTTCTGTATATAAAGATAATTAAAAATGAATCTTAATGAAGAATGGGATGGGAGAGGTAGTAGGAGATGGGATGGTTTGTGAGTGGGAGGGCGGTTATGGGGGGAAGAACCACTATAATCCAAAAGCTGTACTTTCGAAATTTATATTTATTAAGTAACAGTTTTCTATTAAAAAAAAGAAAAAAAAGAGATGCTTATTTTTCCTTACAATCTAGAACTTTTTTTTTTTTTTTTTTTTTTTTTTTTTAAGTTTGAGAGGCAGAGGAACAGAGAGAGAGAGACAGAGGGACAGAGACAGAGCTCCTACCCACCAATTCAGTCCCCAAATGCCTACAATGGCTGGGACTGGGCCAGGCTTAAGCCAAGAGCTGGAAACTCAATCTAAATCTCCCATATGGGTGGCAGGGATCCAGATTTATAAGTAATATAACCCTTTATAAGACACTTCTGTACTAGTGCTTGGAGCAAAAGCTTCTGTTAAAAATAAAGTATCGTAGCTGTAGGGCCATGGCAGCAATTTTGTATTTCTGCTATTTGTGATTTAACTATCTTGATATAAACTCTTAAATATTCCATTTCCCAGTTTCCAACTTTAAGGTTAATAATGATAATATTATAGCTAGTGTATAGCTTTTTGTTACATTTAACATAACCAAGTGATCCAATAGATTTTAAAGACATTTGTTTTTAATTTTCATTATTATTTTTTTAACTTTTATTGAATAAATATAAATTTCCAAAGTACAGCTTTTGGATTACAGTGGCTTTTGCCTCCCCCATAACTTCCCTCCTACCTGCAACCCTCCCATTTCCCACTCCCTCTCCCATTTCATTCATATCATATCAAGATTCATTTTCGGCCAGCGCCACCATAGCTCAATAGGCTAATCCTCTGCCTGCGGTGCGGCGCCAGCACCCCGGGTTCTAGTCTCAGTCGGGGTGCGAGATTCTGTCCTGGTTGCTCCTCTTCCAGTCCAGCTCTCTGCTATGGCCAGGGAGTGCAGTGGAGGATGGCCCAAATCCTTGGTCCCTGCACCTGCATGGGAGACCAGAGAAGCACCTGGCTCCTGCCTTCGGATCAGTGCGGTGCACTGGCCACAGCGGCCATCGGGGGGTGAATCAATGGAAAAGGAAGACCTTTCTCTCTGTCTCTCTCTCTCTCACTGTCCACTCTGCCTGTCAAAAAAAAAAAAAGAAAAAGATTCATTTTCAATTATCTTTATATACAGAAGATCAATTTATATATTAAGTAAAGATTTCAACATATATATATTAAGCATATATTAAGTAAAGATTTATTAAGTAAATAATATATTTACTTAATATATTACATACAATATAATCTTTACTTAATATATTAAGTAAACAATATGTTTATTAGTAATAATATATTTACTTAATAAATATTAAGTAAAGATTATATTATAGATATATTAAGTAAAGATTATATATATAGTAAGTGAAGATTAAGTATATATATTAAGTAAAGATTACTTATATATTAAGTAAAGATTTCAACAGTTTCCACCCACACAGAAACACAAAGTGTAAAATACTGTTTGAGTACTAGTTATAGCATTAATTCACATTGTTTAATTTTTTATTTATAAAAATTATAAGGGGATTGAATTTCATATATTTAATATAAACAGTTTTAAGGTCATGATGATAATTTCCACCCAACCCTCCCTGCCTCCCTCCCTCATCCCTACCCTGCCTTCTCCTTCCTTTCTTAATTTCTTTTAATTTTTACAATGACACACTTTCAGTTTACTTTATAATCACATGCTTAACCCTCCACTAAATAAAATATTCAACAAGTAATATGTAGAAAAACCTGCCCCTCAAGAGAATAGAGAAGGTCTATAAACAGTAATCCAATCTCAAAATGTTACTTTGCTCATACACATTACATTTATTAAACAGTCTTTTTTAGAGATGATTTTCTTGGGTGTCTTGATATTTATAAGAACTATTTCTCCCTGCCCTTTTAAAAAAATCTCTTTTGGTTGTCTTTCTTTTTTTTTTTTTTTTTCTCTTTAATATACTTTCTTTTTTTTTTTTATCTTTTATTTAATGAATATAAATTTCCAAAGTACGACTCATGGGTTACAATGGCTTCCCCCCCCATACCGTCCCTCCCACCAACAACCCTCCCCTTTCCCACTCCCTCTCCCCTTCCATTCACATCAAGATTCATTTTCGATTATCTTAATATACAGAAGATCAGCTTAGTATACCTTAAGTAAGGATTTCAACAGTTTGCTCCCACACAGAAACATAAAGTGAAAAATAATAGATGATTTTTTAAATGATGATGAAATCAGATCAGACCTATTGTCATGTTTAATCCCAGTGAGAGTCAAGTTGGGAATGATAATTTCTTTCTTTTTTGTTTTTTTTTTTTTAACGGAAGATCAGTTTAGTGTACATTAAGTAAAGATTTCAATCGTTTGCACCCCCATAGAAACACAAAGTGAAATATACTGTTTGAGTACTCGTTATAGCATTAAGCCTCAGTGTACAGCACATTAAGGACAGAGATCCTACATGAGGAGTAAGTGCACAGTGACTCCTGTTGTTGACTTTACAAATTGACACTCCTGTTTATGGCATCAGTAATCTCCCTATGCACCAGTCATGAGTTTCCAAGGCTATGGAAGCCCCTTGAGTTCTCCGACTCTTATCTTGTTTAGACACGGTCATAGTCAAAGTGGAGGTTCTCTCCTCCCTTCAGAGAAAGGCACCTCCCTATACACAAAAATCCACTCAACGTGGATTAAAGACCTAAATCTACGTCCTGACACCATTAAGTTATTAGAGAACATTGGAGAAACCCTTCAAGATATTGGCACAGGCAAAGAATTTCTGGAAAAGACCCGGGAGGCACAGACAGTCAAAGCCAAAATCAACTATTGGGATTGCATCAAATTGAGAAGTTTCTGTACTGCAAAAGAAACAGTCAGGAGAGTGACGAGACAACCGACAGAATGGGAAAAAATATTTGCAAACTATGCAACAGATAAAGGGTTAATAACCAGAATCTACAAAGAGATCAAGAAACTCCACAAAAACAAAACCAACAACCCACTTAAGAGATGGGCCAAGGACTTCAATAGACATTTTTCAAAAGAGGAAATCCAAATGGCCAACAGGCACATGAAAAAATGTTCAAGGTCACTAGCAATCAGGGAAATGCAAATCAAAAGCACAATGAGGTTTCACCTCACCCCGGTTAGAATGGCTCACATACAGAAATCTACCAACAACAGATGCTGGCGAGGATGTGGGGAAAAAGGGACACTAACCCACTGTTGGTGGGAATGCAAACTGGTCAAGCCACTATGGAAATCAGTCTGGAGATTCCTCAGAAACCTGAATATAACCCTACCGTTCGACCCAGCCATCCCACTCCTTGGAATTTACCCAAAGGAGTTTAAATTGATAAACAAAAAAGCGGTCTGCACCCTAATGTTTATTGCAGCACAATTCACAATAGCCAAGACCTGGAACCAATCTAAATGCCCATCAATGGTAGACTGGATCTTTTGGTTGTCTTTCAATAACAAATAACATATTTTGTGGATTCTTAGATACATATTTATAAAAATTTTGATATCTGACATATCTGTCTTATGATTGATATAAATAGTTTAACTGGTAAATGTTTTTCTACCTTATAGCTCATAGAATGAGATTGCATCCAATAGGTGATGGCAGCTTAGCATTGATGAAGTCCTTAAGATTGCTGTGAAAATTTGAGACTGTTTCTTAGTAGAGCAAGCAGATGAATTTTGAAAACCTTTGCTTTCAAAGAACTGTTACTAATTTATATCATACGCTAGAGTGCTTTGCTTTGAATTTGGAATAAGTGTGGTAGTCATAATTATTTATGAAAAAATTTCACATACCTTATTGATACTTTAAAGTAATGATAGAGAATAATTGTCTATGTCAATTTCTGTGTATATTAAATATATTAATATGAAAGTACTTTTAAACTGGATATTTTATGCACAATAAAACAGTTATAAAAATGTTTATACCACTTCTAGAGGATGAAGCGCAGATATAAAAGTATCACTTTTGTTTTTGTGGTAATTGTTTTTTACTACCTGTTTTTTTACTAACATTTGCACATTTCTTTTCCATCTATGTTCTGTTCTCTCTCTCGCTCTCTTTTTTTTTTTAAAGACTTGCAGGCTATGTTGAAGCTTTGGCTTCTAGGTTAGGCCTGTCAATTCCTGATCTCACACCAAAGCAAGTTGACATGTGGCAAACACGTGTTAGTACACATTTGGTAAGTAACTTCTATGGTTTATGATGATAACTTTGGTTACTCAGAGCAAGATACTGTGTAGTTAGACCTTTGAGAATTTGAGATGAAATTTGATTTTAGTGGATTTGTTTTGAAAGATAATTTATTTGAAAGAGTTACAGAAGAGAGAGAGAGAAAAAAAGAAAAACCATCCTCTGGTCTTCCACGTAGGTGGCAGGGACCCAAGCACTTGGACGATCTTCTGCTTTCTCGGGCACATTAGCAGGGAGCTGGATCAGAAGTGGATCAGCTGGGTCTTGAACAGTTGGGTGCTCATGGGATGCCAGCGTCACAGGCTATGGCTTAATTAAGTGTGCTACAACGCCAGCTCCTTGAGTGGAGTTTTAACAAAAATTGTCTGGGTCTTAGCAGTTTCAGAAAAACTATTGTATTTATTGATTGCTTATTTTTTCTAAGTATTTTTTGTAGGTATACTTGTCTTTTAAATACTCAAGTTACATGTATAATTCAATTAATATTAAGCAGTATTTGTTACGTGCTAGAGAAATGTACAGAATAATAGAACTCTAGAGAAAAACTAAGAGCTCATGGTATTATGGAAGCCTGCAAGGAAAGTTTTAAGGGGTAGTGAGTGGCCGGTGCCATGGCTCAATAGGCTAATCCTCCACCTGCGGCGCTGGCACACCAGGTTCTAGTCCCGGTCGGGGCGCCAGATTCTGTCCCGGTTGCCCCTCTTCCAGGCCAGCTCTCTGCTATGGCCCAGGAGTGCAGTGGAAGATGGCTCAAGTTCTTGGGCCCTGCACCCGCATGGGAGACCAGGAGAAGCACCTGGCTCCTGCCTTCAGATCAGGGCGATGCACCGGCTGCAGTGCGGCGGCCATTGGAGGATGAACCAACGGCAAAAGGAAGACCTTTCTCTCTGTCTCTTTCTCTCTCTCACTGTCCATTCTGCCTGTCAAAATAAATAGGGGGGTGGGCAGTGAGTGCTAATCATTTTCTCTTCCCATAAAGAAATCAAGTCTGGTGTCTGAGAAGTTTTTTTTTTTTGCAGTTTTTAAATTTTACTGTTAATTAGTTTTTAAGAGATTCAATGTGATTTGTAGATACAATTCTTTTTTTTTTTTTTTGAAGATTTATTTATTTATTTGAAAGTCAGAGTTACACACAGAGAGAAAGTGAGGCAGAGAGAGAGAGAGAGGTCTTCCATCCCCTGGTTCACTCTCCAATTGGCCGCAATGGCTAGAGCTAAGCTGATCCGAAGCCAGGAGCCAGGAGCTTCTTCCAGTCTCCCATGCCGGTGCAGGGGCCCAAGCACTTGGGCCATCTTCTACTGCTTTCCCAGGCCGTAGCAGAGAGCTGGATCAGAAGTGGAGCAGCCAGGATACAAACCGGCGCCCTTATGGGATGCCGGCACTGCAGGTGGTAGCTTTACCTTTAGGCTACAGTGCTAGCCCCTGTAGATACAGTTCTAAGAACATAATGAAAAGATTTGTTTTTGTTTTTGTTTTTTTTTTCAATTTGGTATCTACAATCATTTCTCTCTATTCATGGATTACAACAACCGTGGATTGCTAATATTTTTAAAATAATTGCATCTGTACTGACAGATACAAAAATTTCCCCCCGTCCTCATTCCCTAAACAATACAGTATAACAAATATTTACATAGCATTTGCATTATTTTGTATTATAAGTTAGCTAGAGGGCCAGTGCCGAGGTTCAATAGGCTAATCCTTCACCTGCGGCGCCAGCACTTTGGGTTCTAGTCCTGGTCGGGACGCCGGATTCTTGGATTCTGTCCCGGTTGCTACTCTTCCAGTCCAGCTCTCTGCTGTGGCCTGGAAGTGCACTGGAGGATGGCCCAAGTCCTTGGGCCCTGCACCCCATGGGAGACCAGGAGAAGCACCTGGCTCCTGCCATCGGATCAGCGCGGTGCGCTGGCCGCAGCGCGCTGGCCACGGCGGCCATTGTGGGGGTGAACCAACGGAAAAGGAAGACCTTTCTCTCTGTCTCTCTCTCTCACTGTCCACTCTGCCAATCAAAAAAAAAAAAAAATGTTAGCTAGAGGGACTGACTTTGTGATATAGCAGGTAATGCCATCGCCTGCAATGCCAGCATCCCGTATGGGCACCGGTTTGTATCCTGGCTGTTCTACTTCCGATCCAGCTCTCTGCTAATGGCCTGGTACAGCAGTGGAGGATGGCCAAAGTGTTTGATTCCCTGCTGCCCACATGGAAGACTCTGAAGCTCCTGGCTTCGGCCTATCCCAGCACTCACTGTTAAGACCATCTGTGGATGAGATGAAAGATTCTTTCTCTCTGTCTCTACCTCTCTTTCTGTAACTCTTTCAAAATAAATGAAATAGATATTTAAAAAAATAAATTAGCTAGGGATTATTAAAATGAACAAGAGGCTATGTGCTGGTTATATGTACATGCTACAATATTTTGCAGAAGAGATTTTAATATCTTCACATTTTGGTATCTGTGGGGGTGGAGGATGGGTTCTGGAAGCAGTCTCTTGTAGATAAGAAGCAGTGATTGTATTTGCTCAATGGTGATAATTTCTGAGCGATTTCTTTGGTCTGATGGGATACGGAAAAACAAATGGCAGTGGATCAATGGGAGGTAAAGAAGAAATGTAAAATATAAAATTAATGTATTTAAGTTAAATTGAATTTGTTGTATACTACAGATATTAAAGCTAATTTGTTTATTGGGAGTAAGAATTTATATGTGAAAAATATTAACATATAAACTGTATGATATTCATAGCTAGAATGAAATTATCATTCATTACTTTAAATGTCTACTGCAAAATTTAAACTAAGAACAGGTATTCCTAAATAGAACATTTTGGACGTCATACTATAATACTTTATATTTTGTTTTAATCATTCATAGTAAACATTATTAAAGTTCATTGTTTTAGGCATTATTTTTCAGTTCTGAGTTTCTTTTGTTGCTTTTGGGTTGCTAGTGGTAACAGTTAATGTTTATTTTTATTAAATGAGAACATTTGGATTATTACTTTTTCATATCTTTAATTCACAGTAATTATCCTTTAAATATGAGTGTTAAAGGATCACTACTGAACTAGGAAATGTTTAGTTTTCAATTGAAATGTAGGAGATTATAGAAGCAAAATGAGGGCCTGTTTGCTTACAGTTTTTACTTTATAAAGTGTAAAAGGCTTTTAAGAAAATAAAATGTTAGAAATGGGCATTGGGCCTTGTGGTTTCAGACACTTGCGTCTGATTTTGGAGTACCCGGGTTTGATTCCCAGCTCCAGTTCCTGACTGCAGTTTCCCACCAGTGCAGACTCTGAGAGGCAGTGGTGTTGGTTCAAGTGATCGGGTTCCTGCCATCAGCATGGGAGAACTGGATTGTACTCCTAGCTCCTGGCTTTGGCTTTGATTCCAGACATTATGGGCATTTGTGGAGTAAACCAGCAGATGGAGACAGGCATTTCTCTCACTCTTTCTCTCATTCACTCTCTCTCTGCCTGCCTCCCTCCCTCTCAAATAAATAAATAAGAAATAGACTATTCTTTTGGACCCTTCCTTTTATTTTATGTGTCCCTATCGTGCAATTGAAGTGAGACCAGGTAGCAGATGTCAGTCAGAGTCATGGGTGAATACGGATATTCTAACATTCTAGCAGTTTGGCTGAAAATTTTAGTGTTGAAGTTGGGTTCAAGAGAGTTTATTTTCCTTGGATCTCTCCTTATAGAATTGGTAATTTTATTTTCTTTATATATTAATAATAGGCTCATTTCCCTTCGTGTATGGCGAAAACACCTCGGTTACTCCACTAGTATTTATAGTGTATGTGTGTTTGTGTTCTTTGAGAAAGCCCCCTGCAGTAAAGCAAAGCAGTGACTGCTGCTTAGTTGTTGACGCTCCCTGTTTTAGGCTAGGATCAAATCTTTTACTGTGAATGACATAGTGTTTTGATTACATTCAAACTGAGGCTTTTAAAGTTGTGATCAGCTGTCTATTCCTGACATAGACCAACTCTGAAATTTACTCAGAATATATACAAATGCACATTCAGGTTCTAATGGGCATAGGTTGTATTTAAAAAACCTCATTAGCAATTTGGTTATTTGAAATCTGGAAAATATTTTCTTATAGGATGATATTATAGATGGACTCAAGTTCTCAGATTTGCCCCAATGTAAGACCAAGAATATCATAAGACCTAATAATAATATATAAATCACTTTTTTTAACAATAGAAAAATAATCTCAGGTCCTAGATCAGGGAGAATGAAAAGGATATAATTTCTTTCCTCCCTCCCTGCCCTACTGATCTTTTATCTCCTTGAGATAATTTTATCAGTGAGGGGGAGGAATGTCTTGGTTGCTATGGATAATGGTAACCAGCATTTTCATAGAATGGATGGAAGTGGAAGTGGAACCTATTGGCAATGGTCATTTCGTGTATGTGGGGAAGTTAGAAGTCTAAAACGCAATATAGGCTTTCTAGGAATGAATCATTGAATACAAATATTGAGGTCAAAATCAGAATCTAGGATTAACTCTACCAACACCTAGAATGAAGAAAATGTCTGCTAGTTATAATTCTGGAGGAGTGATGCTTTTAAAATTTTCATGTAATGAAAATGACAGATTTAGCTATTAAATTAAAGCATGGGCATACTACTATAAACACCAATATTGATGACATAAACTCCCCAGAATAACAGTTGAAAAAATTTTAAAAAGTTATTTCCAAAATATTAATGTCTAATATTGAAATTTACTGGGAAAAAAAGTATAGGATCTGATAGCTAGGTGGGCAGTTTATAGGAGAAGATATTTTATTCATGATCTGTAATATGTAATAATTAATTTTGTCTTTGTTTACCTAACCGGAAGGTCTTAGAGAAGAGAAACAGACAGCATCTGATTAGTTCCTATCTGCCTAGTATACCCAGCACAGAGCTCAGCACATAGTAGGTATTCAAAATGTATATATGATAACATGAAACTTAATTGAAAACTGTCTAAACGTGATACTCATCGAGGTAATACAAATCTTAAAAATCGTTTACAAAAATAAAAAAAGAACATTTTCATAATGTTAAGTGAGGTTTCAGAAAATGTAGTGTGTAAATACACATATTGAAATTGGTTTGTATGTATCTGTAGTGTTGTCAATGTGGACAGCATGGACTGTCTTAGAAAGATGCAAAAATACTAATATTACTTGATTTTTTAAATCATTGGTGAAGAGCTGCACACAGAAATGCTTATTGTTATTTACTTAAAATGCTAGAAAAGTAGCAGTGCCTTTTTATGATAAGGAGAACATTAAGTAGAATATGGACCTATAGACTGAGTAGAATATAGAAGTCAGATTAAGTTTATGCAACAGTTTGGAAGTTTATTAGAAAGTGTGACTATAGGGGGTGGAGTGAGGCAGAAAAAAATTATGCTTACATAATGTTTATATCTACATATAGATACACCTAGAAATAAATATTGATAAGTAATACATTCAAGGGCTAGCTAACCTAAATATATTGAGAACAGATACTGAGATTTTTGTTCCCCTGTCTTTCTTCCTTCCTTCTGACATTAATAAAAATATACAGGGTTTTTTTTTTAATGTTTTCCTGGGGTAGGCATTTTCCCTAGTGGTTAAGGCACTGGGTTGGGATTACCTGCATCTCATATCAGAGTGTCTGGGTTTGATTCCCACTTGCACTCCCAATTCTAGCTGCTGGCTAATGCAGACCCTGGGAGGCAGCAGTTGATGGCTCAAGTGAAAGGACCCCTGTCACCCACTTGAAAGACATGGACTGAATTTCTGACTCCTGGTTTGGGGTGGCCTGACCCAACCCAGGCTGTGTTGGGCTTTTAGGGGTAAGCTAGTGCATAGGAGCTTTCTGTCTCTCAAATAAATAAAAATTTAAGAAGAAAAGTGTTTTTCTGTCTGAAAGTTTCTTCGATTCTTTTTTGACAATTAAAAATTGTCCTGGTTGCTTTGAATTTTAAATATTCTAAGATATTTTTATAGTATTTTTATATTTGTTACTGTAATGAAACGAAGTTGTAGTTGAATGTTATAACCATTGCCTATTATTATACTTAGGCAAGGATACCTCTTTCAGGGATATAGTAACTTTTTGAAAATGTTCTCTTTTGTTTCCTTAGGGCAAAGCTGTTGGGGTGACTATTGGCTGCATTCTAGGAATGTTTCCTTTGATTTTCTTTGGAGGAGGTGAAGAAGATGAAAAACTGGAAAAGAAAAATGAATCCTCTTAGAATACCTATAGGAAGATGTAAACTAATGTACCTCAGTTATTAAATATACTGTCACAACATTTAGGAGTTCAGACAGTAACAGTGTATAGATACGGGATCAAATAATTCAGCATGTGTTATGGAACACTAACTTATTGTGGCTTGGTCTTCTTAGGACATCTTTTTAAAAAAAAACTGTTTAGTAGCATTTGTGTAAATTGTTGAAATGCCTTTTCATCAGCAGCAGTCAACATCTTATCTTTTCTTCTTTCTTTATCTATCACAATATTATTTAAGTATTGGTCATTGATGTACTATATTGACTTGGGGTTTGCCTATCTGTTACTTAACATGCCTACTTGCATGGAAGCTTTTGTTGATGTTGTTGTTCCCTAATAGTTACAATTCAAATTTAGGATTTTTCCAGATTACTTGAGATGTTTAATATCAGTTAAAGATTTTTTTACTCTCTTTTTGGCACCATCAATTTTGTACTGTTTCACAGTAAACATTTGCAATCATAAAATTCAGTCATTTTCTTAACTCTCACATCTTTTCAAAATGGATGCAGATTTTATGTATGTATAACTCAGTTTTCTGACTGTACTGTCTGAAGGGCCCGGGGTTAATCAGAAAGAACAAATATGTGTAGTTTCTGTACTACATGAAACCATATGTTTTAACGAGGATACTTATTTTTGGTTGATTTTCTTACTTTAATCTCCCAGTTTTGAATAATTTCATGGTGGGTTCTGATTTCCTGAAGGGAAGACAATGACTATTTTATAGTCTTTTAAATGGAGGTTATGGAATTAGGGTGAACTAAGGAATTTGACGTGATGCTTGGAAATTAGGAAGCTAAAGTATTTATTTTTAGAGAAGTGTAAAATGGAAACTGTCAAGAAGGCTTATGGTCTAAGTGCTGAAGTTGAAGTGATGTTTGAAAGACGAATGAGATATAAATCATTGTTTGAGAAGGATTTTTTTCCCTCACAATATGTTATCTTCTCATCTGAATGGAATGAGCCCAAACACTTCATGTTCATAATCCTAATCTTGTATTTTGTTCAGTGTACGTTTTTCTGGATAATTTCTTTTGAAGTGAAAACTAAATATTTTGTATTCTTTGTTTTTGCAATATAGTCTAGTCAAAGTTATATTAGGAAGAAATCCTTCCTCAGTGTTTCCCTTTTTTTTTTTTTTTTGGTGTTTAAAGCATAGTCTTGGTTAAAGCTACTTGTTTCTAGTCTTGTATATCTGACTTAAATATAACCATGTAGACTCATAAATTCTAATTTTCTGAACCTTTATGATTTTTTATTATGTGGTCTGTTAAATATGCTAAAAATTACTCTTACTTGTAACAGAATAATTAGACGCATCATGGAGGAGAGAAATTGAGATTAATATTTACTATTTGGCTAGAAAATACATCATATAGTGTATAAATAAATATATAACATTCTTACGCACAGATAGTATGACATTTCTCATCAGATTAAATCAAAATTGTAAAACTTGACATGTTAAACAGAATAGTAGTTTGTTTCTTCCAATTGTATCATATACAGATACCAAAAAGAATTTTTTTAAGTTTCAGATTAATAGGAATAGAGTGCTTATTTCAAATTTTTTTTTTGGTAAATATATAAATGCTTCTGTTCCTAATTTATATATTGATTGGCAATCCTTTCTGGTTTTTTTAGAAGTATTTTATTATGGTGCTTTTCTTTTTTTTAATTAAATCTCATATTCCAGGAACTTTGCTTGTAAAGTTTAGAAAGGACTTTTGATTAATAATATTTTTTTTGCTCCTGAAAGTAATCTAGTCCTATTATTAGCAGAATTATCATTATTATTAACAGAATCTATCAGTTTAGGTGACTATCGACAGAATTATTTAAGTTGTCAAAACATGAATATATAACCTTTACATTGAAAGATAATTTATAGGTATAATAAAAGTTTGAATCAGTCAGGTAATAAATTTTCAAAAAAAATGGAACCTTTCTGTTCTTTGTATACATTTTTTTTTCCAAAAAAAATTATTTGTTCCGGTATGGTGCTTTGCACAAAGTGATTTCTGAAAAAAAGTGACTCCCTTTCAGATAATGATTTCATATGATCATTGTTTCATGTTATTTGCCACACAGAACCTTATTTGAGGTTGAAACTGGAATCTGTGTTTCTCATATTAATTTCTCTTTTAGGAGCACTAGAAATGTGAAATGCAACATGAGCTACTTTAGTGCTGTTTGTTTGAAATTTGTGTTCTGTGTATTATGATTTATTGACTTCTTGATGCATGTGAATTGAGTGCATTTTGTTGCCACTGTATGTTAAATGGTGACCAATGTTTTTACAAAGGAATTGAACAAAAAGAAATCTTTTAAGAAGTTTGAAATGTGGTTTTGACTTTGAAATTTTATTTTCTTACTGAGGACCTTGGTTACTCTTACTAAAGGAAATAGGATTAATAATTGCGGATTTGTTACAAGGTAGTAGCAAAGTCACTGAGAGTGTAAATGGAACTCTGCTCTCTCTCTGAAATCCACACATGATACAGAACATGACAGAGTGTTTAAGAAGAATGTTCCCACATAAAGATCTCACATAAAGAGATAGGCATAAATCACCGTAATGGTGCTTACAGCAGAGATATCCAAGCTATTTATATAATAATGCCTCATTTACTTTTTTTTCTATAGAAGATAAATTTGGAAGGTAATGGAAGTTTATCTTTTATACCAAAAGTCTGCATAAAGTAAATCTTCCTACTTTTAGAATTATATATTTTCTTACCACCTTAGTATATTAAATGCAGTATAACTTTTTTCTTAGTGGCTAAGTATCTTTTTGTGGACTTTATTATTGTGCTGTACACAGTACCTTGAGAATCTAGTTTTTATAGTTTTTTATTTTCCTCCCCTTTTTTGCTGTTCTCATTTTGGTAACTGTTTTATCTCTTTAATATGATTATTTCTCAATTATATTGACTTAAGAACTAGATAGCTTATCTTACCATAAACTTTTATGTAACTATTAGAAAACAGGCTATTGAGGCTGAGTGAGTTGATGATGGTCATGATGAGAGTAAGAATAGTAATATTAGCATGAGCTCCCTTTTATTAAATACGTACTTAATGCTATACACTGTAGTATTTTACACACATTATCAAATGTAATCACCTTAATAGCAGCAGTAAGTTGGTGCTGTTATCATCCCTATTTTGTACCAGGTAAATTGAGGCATGGAGAGGTGAGTTTGTCCACAATGTCACTACCAAGTAGACTGGCTCTGGCATGTCTGTGTAAAGAACACATGTCTGTGTTCTTAAATCATGCAGTGGGGACACCAGTTATATGGACTTTGTCACTTTTTTCCCTGTTTAGGTTCCTTTTTACCTCCACATTTGTAGAGTAATTTTCTCATCTCTAACCTAAGGAAATTGTTCTTGTAATTCAAGATCCATGTAACAAGTTTGTGTGTGTGTGTGTGTGTGTGTTGATTTATGCTTCTTATTTGAAAGGCAGAGTGGCAAAGAGAGAGGAAGAAACAGAGAGAGAGATCTTCCATCCACTGGTTCACTCCCCAAATGGTTGGATGGAGTTCCAAGCCAAAGCCAGGAGCCTGGAACTCCATCTTGGTCTCGCACGTGATTGGCAGGGTGGGACCCAGCCACATGGGCCATCTTCCATGGCTTTCCCATGTGCATTAATCATGCACTGAATCATAAGTAGAGCAACTGAGACTCAAACTGGCATTCTGATATGGGATGCTGGCCTCGCAGGCCGTGGCTTAACCTGCTGCACCACACCACCAACCCCAAGCTCAGTGTTTTTGATTGCATATTACGTGCTAGGAACTAATACCCCCACCCTCATGAAGCACATTGTGTGGCGGGGAGTGTTGGGGGGCCATTAGGGAGTGTCAGTGAGAGAAGAGAACACAGAAAAAGAAAATGGCATTGAATTATTTTTTATGACTGATCGTGACATGTTCTATTGAAGTAAATGGAACAAGATAAAGGGCATAGAAAGTACCAGAGGTAGTAAGTGGAGTGGTCAGAGAAGACCTGGAAAGAAGTGAGCGTTAAAAATATAGATTCCTGTGAAGAGAAGGTGTGCTAAGTTATGGAAAATTGATGTTAAGGACATCTCAGACATGAAATGTATTTCACTTTGAAATGAATTATAAAACATTTTCTTGTTTGTTTTGTATTGCTAATGTCAGGATTAAATGTTGATCAACATGTACTCTTGTACATTTACTAATAGCAATAGAAGGATATGGCCCAGAAACATGAGGAAGCAATCCAGGAGCTCAAAAAAGCTGGGGAAAATCCATCAGCAAATAATTCAGGGTTTTCTGTGTACTCATAATGAAATATTACTAACAGATCACTCATTTTTTACCAAAACAGTAAGTTGTAGTGAACACTGAAATTAGTTTTTTCTTTGTTCAACTTTTAGAATTGGGGTAATAAATAGGTTTGAAGTTTTTGGACTTTTGTGGTCTATTGATACTGGCAACCATGAAACATCTTATTTTGTATTGGTGTTCATATGGCATATTATATCTAATGTGAATGACATGAATGAAATTGAACAAATTTTTTTATTGGCGTAAAGATTAAAAAGCTAGGGTAAGTATTGAGAGATGGTATTTTTTCTCCACAACTCCAAGTCAAACTTTTTGTTTAAATGAATGAAATGTGGGAATGATGATTGAAGAGTTAACAGAAGTACTTTTGGGGCAAGCTGGGGAATCTTCAAAAACTGTAGGATAAAGCAATTTTCTGTAAGAATTGTGAAATTTAGAAAAGATGGTGTTTGCTAATATGGAAGTTGATATATTTGTATTATACTTTACCATAAGAGGTAGACATAAATGGGTTTTAAAAGAGGTAATTAAGGCCAGCGCCGAGGCTCACTAGGCTAATCCTCCGCCTAGCGGCGCCGGCACACCGGGTTCTAGTCCCGGTTGGGGCGCCGGATTCTGTCCCGGTTGCCCCTCTTCCAGGCCAGCTCTCTGCTGTGGCCTGGGAGTGCAGTGGAGGATGGCCCAGGTGCTTGGGCCCTGCACCCCATGGGAGACCAGGAGAAGCACCTGGCTCCTGGCTCCTGCCATCGGATCAGCGCGGTGCGCCGGCCGCAGCGCGCTGGCCAAGGCGGCCATTGGAGGGTGAACCAACGGCAAAGGAAGACCTTTCTCTCTGTCCCTCTCTCTCACTGTCCACTCTGTCTGTCAAAAAAATAAATAAATAAAAAATAAAAAAATAATAAAAAAGAGGTAATTAAGTCAAAGAAAACTAACATACTTTAAAGTTTTTTCTTCTTGCCTGCCAATACCCCCTCCCCTTCCCCCTTTCTTCCTCTGCTGCCTGTTGATTCTTCTGTCTCTTGCCCTTTTGTGTGACTTTCTTATTTTTCTTCTTTATCTCAACCTCAACCTCAGGCTGAAGAATGTTTTCAGAATGTATTTTATGACCCATGCTGTTATTTTAAAAGCATGTATGTCAGACATTTTTTCTTTCCCACCTCCATTGGGGAGGAGAGCAAATCTAAATTTAATTCATTCTATTATTGTTAACACCTCTAATCTTTCATCTATACCTCCATACCCTCTCAGGTGAAAAGCCCACTCTTCATCAGGGGGAAAAGATTTGACTGTGGGCTGTGTGTCAGCTCCATAAAAGATAAGATCTCACCTGTCTTGCTGCTTCCTTCTCTACCCTTAATGCTCTGTGTAGTACCTGGCACGTGGTACGTGATCAGTGGTTATTTGATGAGTGAGCACTACTACTGACATCACCAGGATTTTCTCTCAGGTGGAAAACCTTTCTTCTGCCAAGGAGCATTTGATATTTACATCATTATTCAAAGGAGGGAGAGGGGGAAGGAGGGAGAGAGAGCTAGAGAGGTCTTCCATCTGCTGTTTCACTCCCCAAATGGCCACAACTGCGATCATGGGCCAAGCTGAAGCCAGGAGCCAGGAGCTTCATCTGGGTCTCATGTAGGTGCAGGGACTCAAGGACTTGGGCCATCTTCCACTGCTTTCCCAGGTGCATTAGCAGGGACCTTGACTGGAAGTGGAACAGCTGGAACTCAAACTGGCGCCCATATGGGATGCCAGCATTGCAGGCAGTGGCTTTATCCATTATGCCGCAACGCCAGCCCTGACAATAAACAAATTTTATGTTAACATAAATGTACATATTTTATGAGAATTATTTTTTAATAAAATCTTACAATAGTGCCATTAATTTACATTTTTGAAGGTTTCTTTAATATCTGGCTTAATTGAAGAAAGCTGGCTTCTCATGTTTCCAAATTTAATGTTTGAGTGTTGTTTTGTTTGAAGTAAATTCAGCCCCACACAGGTGTATTTGTAAAGTAGGGGGAACACTTTAATAGCCTTTTCATATGACTGTGTATTTATTGTTGGATACTGTACCAAAACTAAACAGGAGAGGTAGTTTCTGAAAGGTTATTAGCAATGTAGAATCTGAATTCTTATAAATGGAATTTTGCATTGAGGCACATTAGAGTCTTGGTTTCTGCTGCTTTTTGAGACTGTTTCCCATGCATGCTTTTACACTGTCATGCAGTTGGCATTGGAAACTACTAATTCACTTAAGCAGGTCTTCCAAATACTAATACACTTAACCATAAAAAAATTACATCATGTTTAACATGACCAACACCACATAAAAATAGCCATTTAAATGTTGAAAAGGCCTCAAGTTCAGATGGCAGAAACATATTTTTCAAAATTGTGATTTTCACTTGAAAGCTTAAACTTTATCATTGACAACACATGCTGTTCATTTTCTTTGAAGTGACAGTTCACTTTGTTCATATGTGACAAAATGTCAAATGCCAAGTTTATCTCATAACTCAAAACAATCTCAGCAAGTACTTTTTCTTTTTTTTTAACTTCCATGAAAGAAATGCTTTATTAACACAAACGCGGACTACCAAGCAGTAAGAAATTTAAATATCCATATCATAACACACAGGTGGCAGGCAAGTCAACATCTAAGGCTGACAGGATGCTTGAAGGAGATGGCAACAGACCAGACTCCCAGGGTGCAGAAGCCATCTTCCCAGGCATGGGGGCCCCAGCTGTAACAGCTTCTCAAGTTCTCTGTCCTCATCGAGGATCATGAGAGGCATTCTGTTCAAAGGGAGGTGTGCGATCTGGTGCTCTTTAGGCAGGTCAAAACTCTCAAAATCTAGAGGATTGAAGGGAAAAAAATTTTCTATTTCTGGATAGGTGTCATCTGAGGCAGGAACAGAGTTTTTTGCTTTAACGTTTTTCTCGGTTATCTTTTTGGCAGCGCTGGGCTGTTTTTGTTTGAGGGGTCCATTCATCTTCACGGACTTTCCTGTAGCTCTGTTGACAGTTCCCAAAGCCTCTCTGGCAGCTTTAGGTAAGATTGGTGGAGCATCAAACCTTTTGCCAACAAGGGGCGCCGAAACCTGCGCTCTCCCCTCTAAGGCTTTTGAAGGCCTGGACCCCAGCTTCAGCCCATCCTTAGGAGCCACGAGGGTGCCAGGTTCTCCGTGTTCCTTTTCGATAAAGACCAGAGTAGCCACTCTGGATTATTTTGAGTCTCTGCAGCCATCAAGTACCTTTTCTTAAGATAACTGTCATATCTTGTATCCCCAGAAGTACTTTATACTTTCTATTTCTTCATACAGAATTTATTTTTAAAGAACCATTTACTTAAGAGTCAAGATTTAAAATAAATGATTTTTACTGCCTTATAAGGATATTGAAACCACCCCTCCCACACACCCCCAATAGCACATGTGTGACAGTGAGGACTACAATGACTGCAAATACCTTGATTCATTTTAAGATGCTGGTGACTTTATCCACCACCACTTTTGCACTGTTGATGCAGGTCACTAGAGAGAAAAAGGTTAATCATGTTCTGGTATATTATGAAAAAGGCAGGTGAATGCAGACAATGACTTCACAATTTGAGATTTGCTGCCCTGAACTTTGCTAATTAAGTTGGGTTTAGCTGCAAGTAACAAAACCAAAAAAATAGTAGTAGATGAAACAAGACAGATACTTCTCATGTAAAGCTGTTACGGCATGTTGTCCAGGATGGCTGTCATAGTTCCACTCCAGAGAGTACTCAGAGGCCCATGTCCCCTTCCTCTTGCTTCATCATGTATAGCTTTCATTCGCAATCGTTTCATGATCTAATATGGTTGCTTCACTCACAGCTATCACATCCATACTCTGCTCAGGAGGAAAGTATTAGAAGGTAAAGGAAAGGACTTGCCCAGCTTTTAAGTTGCCACATGACATCTTACCTGCCAGATTGCCATGTGAATTCAGTTGAAAGAGAAGCTTGTATGTCTCCATTCTATATGACTGGGTGTAACCAAATTTTGGAAGAAAGGAAGGGCATCATAGGGGACAACTAGCTGTCTATTACAGTCCATCACTTTTGGCTATCAAGTATTCATAACTCTCCTTTCCTTCAATACGAAGGACAACTGTCCACAAGGAATGGGTTCAAGTTTCTTTGCAGTGACTACACTTAATTAGAAATGTACTGTTCTACTAAGTCTTTTTTTTTTTTTTTTTTTTTTTACAGGCAGAGTTAGACAGTGAGAGAGAGAGAGAAAGGTCTTTCTTCGTTGGTTCATCCCCCAAAGGGCCGCTACAGCTGGTGCACTGTGGCCAGCGTGCTGCGCCAATCAGGAGCCAGGTGCTTCCTCCTGGTCTCTCATGCAGGTGCAGGGCCCAAGCACTTGGGCCATCCTCCACTGCCTTCCTGGGCCATAGCAGAGAGCTGGACTGGAAGAGGAGCAACTGGGACAGAACTGGTGCCCCAACCGGGACTAGAACCCAGGGTGCCAGTGCCGCAGGCAGAGGATTAGCCTAGTGAGCTGTGGTGCCAGCCCTCTATTAAGTCTTAATGTGGCTCTTTGGTATCAGGTAACCTATAAGCAAAAAAAGTATCTGTTCCTACATACTCTGTATGCAATAGAAATTTCCAAAATATCAGAGAGGGAAAGAGTGGGCAACACAACTGTCACTAGTTCCTAGAATGATCAAATCCATCACTGCTGTCCTTTAATAGAAAATGTGGGTAAAATAAATAATTCATCCATTTGAAAGCAGTAGAAATCTGTCCAGGCAAGATTCCAAGAGCAGTGGACATTTAGAAGTGAGTTGATTTCTATAGCTTCTTTTAGGTTGGAATGCAGCAGAATGCTGGTTTAGTTTAGTATTTCTTAAAGCTTGCTTCTAGGGATAGAAACCAGGAACTTTTGGTGGAGAAGAGGAGTCCCAGCATGTGCAGTTCCTTCCCCCAGAAAACTTGCAGAATTTTGGAGCTTTGTGGAACCAAAGACACAGTTGAGCAGAAAGTCTCATAAAGATTAAAATTCAGGACCTGACAGGACAGGATCTGGAAAATAACCTTGGTAATCAAAACTGAGGGCTGGGACAAATCAATGTATAATGAGCTTTATGCCAACACTTGAATTCTGCCTTGATTTATCATGATTCCTGGTTGGATTAAGGTAATCATTCTTTATTGTTCTAGTAGAAGGAAAGATGAATCTCTCTAGGGAGATATCACTAGAAGTCTATAACATCTTTATATATAACACCTGGAAATTGAGGATTGTAAAACATGTCAAAAAGTAGGACATATAATAAAAAACTAAAACATGAGAAACAGATAATACAGATATTGGCATTAGCTGAAAAGAACTGTAAGCTGAATTGTATGTTTGAGATAATTATGGATAAAACAGGCAAGGATTTCAATCAGAAAAGTAACACAAAAGTCAAATGGAAATTTTAGAACTGAACACAGTATATGGCATTGAAAACACAGCTGGATAATTTGAATGATGAATTTGCACAGCAAAAGGTTAGATTAGTGAGCTGCAAGAGAGGTCAACAGAAAAAACATACTGGAGAATGAAAATAAAATAATGGAACAGATGTGCTTTTGCAGGCATGTTCAGAAAATGAAATGGCTTTAAAAATAAGTAGCTGAAGTCTTGGAGAGACATAAAGAATGAGACAGAAGTAACACTGACCAAGCCCAGAAAAGTAAAGCAGGGCAAAGAAGACTAGAATCACACTTAGATACATCATAGTGACATGATCTGGAAACAAAAGAGAACATCCTAAGGATACCCAGGGATGAGGGAAAAAGACATATTTCAAAGAAGTAATCATAGGACTAACAGCTGATGTCTCCCAAAATGACAATAGAATAATACCTTTAAAGTGCTTACAGAAAATAACTGCCAAGCTAGAAGTTAATATGCAGCAAATACATTGTTCAAAAATGAGGGTGAAAGAAAGCTGTTTTTTGTGTTTGTTTTTTAAAAAAGTTTTCTATTTATTTGAGAGATAGAGTTACAGACAGACAGGGAGAGACAGAGAAAGGTCTTCCCTCTGCTCACTCTCTCCCCAAATGGCCACAATGGCTGAAGCTGAGCCTATCAGGAGCCAGGAGTTCTTTCCAGGTCTATCACACATGTGCAGGGGCCGAGGCACTTGAGCCATCATCTGCTTTTCCAGGTCATAGCAGATGGCTGAATTGGAAGAGGAGCAGCCAGGACGAGAACTGGCATCCACATGGGATGCTGGCACTGCAGGCAGAGGCTTAACCCACTACACCATAGTACTGGCCCCAGAAGCTGTTTTTAGACAAAAGCAAGGAATTTGTTGCTAGTGGGCTTGTGAACACTGAATGCTGGTTGTGTTACCTGAAAATAACAAGCAGGACATTTTGTGACTGGCCTCTTTACATTCTAATGGTGATTTTTGATAGAAACAGTTTGTCTTTGTTTTTTTTTTTTTAAGTTTATTTATATAAATGAAACATTTCATTATCATACAGTTTTAAGAACATAATAACATTTTCCACCCCATCCTCCCTCCCTCCCTTCCTCCCACCTTTTTTCCTACTTCCTTTCTTATTTTTCTTTTGATTTTTGTGATAATATACTTTTTTTCCTTTGAGAACAAGTTTTATCATTAATTGAATAAACACCTAAGGAAACAAGCAATGGAGTTGGGCACTTAGTGCTGCTTTAAGAGATTGTCTTTCTATGAGTCTGTTGTGCAGTCAGTTTCCTATGTTGGAGTGTTCATGCCTTTTTAATTCTATCTATTATTACCAAATACTTAATCCTATTTGTATGATTGCTTTAACACTTAAGATGCTTTTTTTTTTTAACCACCTGCTTATGGGAGTTTGGCATCCA